GTTTCAGCTTCTAGAACAAAGGTTTTTGTACTTTTTCAACTCATACGGATACAAAGCATCTCAGATTTAAACTGGGATACTTGGTATCAGTAGAACTGAGAAAGCTACTCATTTCCTCGTAGAATACCATGACAACATCCAACAATTAAAAGTGGCATCCTCAACTTTCACTCATTTAGATTACTTCCACAAACCTGTTATCAATTAAATATTTAAAAAAATTCTCTTAGGCCCTGGCTAAACGAGGAAACATGTTTCCAGAAACATGTTTACCGCGCGCATGTTTCCTCGATGTTTCCCAGTTTAGCCACATGCGAAACATTGTTGTGTGCAACAAATTTTGCTTTCAAGACGCAAAAAATGTTTTTGCTGTGCGGCACAAGACGTATGGAAACATTGTTTCCCGATGTTTCCTGACAGTTTTGCCACTTTTTTTAGGAAACATTTAGGGAAACATGTTTCCTCGTTTAGCCAGGGCCTTAATCTTCGGAAAAATCTTAGTAAAAAGGAGGAAATTCGTACAACTTTCGTGCGACTTTTTTTTTCTCATTGGCCGACTTTTTTTTTAGAGTTGGTTGACGTTTTTTAAGAGTTGGTCGACTTTTCGGACTTTTTTGGTCGCCTTGTGGATCCATACTACTTTTGACAATGTGATGACGCAATTTATCGTCAGTAAGAGGACAGACACATAAAAACTGATGTCTATTTGTCTCGTCTTTTTACCCAACTCACATCTCGCATGTCCCCTACAAGCTTCCGTTGAATTGACGATTGTGATTGACCGAGATATTTGCTGAATTGACATAATTTTTCGCTGAATTGACATAATTTCTGTGATTAACATAGATTTTTGCTGAATTCACATAATTTCTGTGATTAACATAGATTTTTGCTGAATTGACATAATTTCTGTGATTAACAGAGATTTTTGCTGAATTCACATAATTTTTTTGCTGAATTGACATAATTTCTATGGTTAACAGAGAATTTTGCTGAATTGTCAGAATTTTTTGCTGAAGTTCGACGTTTGACATAGCTTTTAATCTTAAAAGCGGGATTTAGTCATATAATTAATCATTATTTGTGATATTTTGTTCTTATGATAAACTTCTTACCGATTCAGTGAGTACTTGGTAGGCTGTTATCAGTTACTTTCTGTTAGTGGACTCTTGAACATTACAGAACAAAAGTAAACTGATCTGGCCAGAAGAAGAAGAAGGTATCCTTTGATCTTTCAAGGTTATCATGTTGGCTTTCACTTCCAGTCCCCGGTCGAAAAAGTCTTTCCATGAGACTTTAATTCCAAAAAATCCTTTTTTTCCGGGAAAAAACGAGAGTTGTTAGACTATGACAAGTTGGACTTGCCTGGCTGGTTGGCGATATTTCTGACTCTCAGAGCGAAAGTTTTCGATTTAATAAAGTTTCGTGTGAATATTTTATTATGTAAACGTCAACGCTGAAAATATAGGGGTTTCCCGTACTGACTTCAAGGAGGCAAACGATATTCTATGCTGATTGAATATTAAATCGTAGTTAACAGTGCTATTTCAGCAAAATCGATGTGCTGCTTGCATGACACTGTACGTCGTTTAGTACGTACAAAAATACTAATGAGCTAGCTTTAATGAAATAAATAACTATGATATATTTATCCGTTATTGAAAATGTTAACCTTAGACATTTTCATCTTCTCAGTATTAGTTTTGGTGCTGGCTCTTTAAGGTAAAATTAATTAATATCATTTTAATTATAACTTAATAATAATTAAAATAAGGAAATATATTCTCGTCACGTATGCAACCGCGTTGTTTCATTGTCCCAACTAATCAGTTAGTAGTTGTGGCCATTTCTATGTTTTTTCGTCGTAAAATCTCGAGATATTTTGGTTGCTTTCAACAGGCATCATAAGGCTTCAAAAACCAAYAATTCATGTAACATTTTATGTGATGATTTTCTGTTATTATTAATAATGATCTATTATCTATAAATAACAAGTGCTAACTCAGCACAAAGTCAATTCCCTAGACTCAGAGACCATTTCTCGTCATCCGAATTTTTTAGATCAAATCTTTCCGGCTGTATGTTTACAATGGATGAAGCCCATCGATCTTTGAATTATGATAGCAATAGAAAGCCTAAAGCCAAGCTTGACAGTGAATATACTAATAAAAGTTTTCAAAAACTCATAGTTCCATTTCAACCAAAACAACTCCGCATTTGCATATCAAAAAGATTATTTTCACTTTAGATTTGATGTTGATGTTGCAAGATAATAGTTTTTGTTCGGTTCGGTTAGATTAGATTCTATATACATTGAGAAAAATTTGTTTTCATAAATGTATTCCAAATGGCACAAATTCAATCACTATAAAAACTGTAAAAATATAATGCAATTGTCTTCATTAATTTAATGCGTTGAGATAAAATACTAACAAAATCTGATGTGACGTGAGTGCTCACCCATTACAACCACAGAGCGAGGATTAATCCCATCAAACGGCTGTAGATTAGGAATAAGGTTTTCATTCACAAATTCAAGAAATTTCTCTTCAGTAGTATTCCCGCGGCGGATACTCAAGTGTATTGTTCCTTCCGTGCAGATGACAGGGATTGCCATACCATCTTCGTGTTTGAGCTCGATAGCATCGAAAACTGTATCCAAAGCGTCTCGAGATTCGTTTATCCTGTAATGCAGAAACATTCGTTACAACCTCTGTCAGTATCACAATCCCAGTGCGGAGATCAGTTAAAAAGGTATAACAAAATGAGTTTCTGAAAGGAGAACTTACAAATCCACACTCGTCAAGGAACACAAACATCGCAGGATTGAATTTTGATACCACAGACCAATAGTTTATTCGATCTTCTTCGCATCTTTGATAAGGAATTCTTTTGAGCTATAAACACCGAAAGTGAAATGTATTGAATACAACATTCATGATTACAGATTTCTCATGTCTACAGAGCTCGGATAAAGTTTTTCTGGTTGTTCTAACAATTCTTGCATCAAAACGGCTTGTTCTTGTTGCGAAAGCGAATATGAACCAGCAGGTCTTCCTGGTTTGTCAGCACAAACATTTCGTCTCTCGTAATATCGTCGGGCGAAGCGTCAAATATAAACTATTCCATGACTCCCCGCGCCACTAGTTTATACGTTTTTCGCTTCACGGGTGACAAAGTTTCTCGTAAGCGGTATTATATAGTACATCATTGTTATTAAATGGAATCCTTTTCTAAGTATGATCAAATGTAGTTAGACGGAATGTAGGTTAAGGTTGTTTTAAATAATCCAGTCATGTTGGACTCATCGGATGCCGCTTTCTTTTATTACATTGTCAACCATGTCTTTCATACCTTTACTCCATCTTTATTAGGAATACATTATAAGCTAGTCTAAATTAAGGTTAATTTTGAAAAGTCAGTGCGAAATGAAATCTTATGGTTTTGTGATCGTGAAAGAACTGGCTTCTTTGATCAAGTATTTTTTAACGGGTCAACGAATGACTTAAAAACACTCCGAGAATACTCATGTGCTACCTAAGAATGATTCCGCTCTAATAACTATGTTCATCAAAAAATATTCCAGTAAACTAAGCTTCTTTTGGTTTTTATAAAAGTTGTTTTGTGACGTTATTGTTATTTATAATAAAGTTCCTAACAATTTCTGAGAATTCGGCAGGCCATTATCACAGATACTGTAAATAGAATTTTGAACAGTTAGAAGTTAATCTGGATCAAAGAGAGAGGTATTAATTCTTTTTGATATTTCAAGGTTTTGTTTGCTTTCACTTTCATATTCTGGTTGACGAAGATTATCCATGACTGAACCTTCCTAAAAACAAAACAAAACAAAAAACAAAACAAAACAAAAGAAAAAGGAAAGAAAATAAAATAAACAAGAGTGGTAGACTCATGACAAAGTGAACGTCCCTGGCATGTTCGATATTTATAATTCCCACAGCGAAAGTTTTCGAATTTATAGTTTTTATAAGGATTTTATTTTGTGAATATTATTCCATCCCACTCACTATACGTCATCACTGGTAATCATTCTGGCGTATCGGGGGGTTCCCCGTTAAATAAATTAAGTTTGCAAACACAATATTTTATTCTGATTGAATATTATATCATAATTAACAGTACTATAATAGCAGCATCGATGTACTGCTTGATGACTCGATATTACGAGAAATCTTGCTTTCTTTACTATGTTAAGGAAATCATATCCAATGTAACTGACACTGTCTTTTAGTACGTGGAATCGACGACTGAATTGCTAATTAGACCTTTGCGTTACACTATTTTTGAATTCATAATTCCCACAGCGAAAGTTTTCGAATTTAAAATTTTGATAAAGATTTTATCGTGTGAATATTATTCCATCCTACTCACTATAAGTCATCACTGGTAATCATTCTGGCGTATTGGGGGTTCCCCCGTTAAATAAATCAAGTTTGCAAACACAATATTTTATTCTGATTAAATATTATATCATAGAAAACTCGACCTCGTAGTCTAATTGTTAAATAGATGTGACACTGTCTTCTAATACGTGGAATCGGAAATTTAGACCTTTTGCGCTACACTAATTTTTGAACTTCGTGCAAGCTAAAGCAATAGATGGTAAAAAAGATTGTACGGAATGTGAGTTCCTTTTGTTTTCTATACTAATCAAAGCAAGCGTATTGAACGTCTTGTATCCAACCGGTCTCAACGCAAGCGAATAAGCAAATGAAGCACGGTATGAAAAAGAATGTAACGGCGTTAACTGAGGAAAATTTTACGCACGCATTCATTGAAGAAAATATTGAAAATATTGCACAACAAAGGCAAGAAAAAGTATAACTCTTAAGTTTTTTGTTCGTTTTGTTTTGTTTTGTTTTGTTTTGTTGTTGTTTTTTTTTTTTTTTTTTTTTGTTTGTTTTGTTTTGGTTTTTTTGTTTTGTTTAAAATTCGATTTTTGAAAATACATTATAAATTATGAAATTTTAAACAACTTCAACCATGGTTTAATTCAATAAATCCATTTTTACTTTCAACTGGCAGATGTGGTTGGGAAATAGTTTTAATCGAACATTTTAGTCGTCATGTTTAACGTTTTTGACATACGGAAGGAATTCATTTATAGTGCAATACTAAACTAGACTGTGCAAGCTCAAGCCTCAGGAGGTTTAGTTAAAGCCTCTCGATCCGCCTACTGCGTCGGGRCTTCAACAAAACCTCCAACCCCGGCCCGTCACAAAATTTGTATGTCTCAAGTCTTAGGCCCTGTCCACACGTATCCGGAAATTTTTGTATCCGGAATTTTTTCGGATACGAAAATGTTCGCGTCCACATACACGCAGCGTATTCGAATCGTTTTCGAATAGTTTTCACAGTCCACACGTATCCGGTAATTTCATGATCCACCCTGATGCACGCTAGTGCCTAGTCCCTTTGACGAATAGTCTTTCTTATTGAGCATGCGCAAAATCGTGTTTACGTCATCGTATTCGAAAATTTGCGGATACGACCGTCCATACGTATCCGTATTCGGAGCGTATTCGAAAATTTCCACTCTGGAGACCGTTACAAAAATTTCCGGACACGTGTGGACGCAACACGTATCCGCAAAAAAAATTTGCGGATATAATAATTTCTGGATACGTGTGGACGGGGCCTTATAAAATGTATATGTTTATAYCGTGACAAATAAACTAAACTAAACTAAACTATAAAAAAATCATCAAAGGAAAAAGCGCGCGCTCGTTCACGACGGCTTGTGTTTGTTTTCTTATTGATGATAAGAATTAACCGATCAGCGTGCAAGAAATTTGTAAGTTATTGTCTCAAAATCACTCTCACGGTAATCATCTAGCTACTGGAACTTGAAAGTGATGAGAGACCCATCCTCTGGCTCATATTCGTCTATTCCTGTAAGGATCTGTGCTCCTGGTGGAGTAGAGAAGATCATCCAGTATTTGTTAGCAGCAGGGTTAATGTGCACCCCACAAATGGACGTTATCGTGTGACCGGCAACGGAAGGACATACTCACTCTCACGGTTATAATTTTCAGGAACTTAAAAGTGATAAGCGAAGCATCATGTGGCTGATATTCATCTATTCCTGAAGGGATCAGTGCATCTGGTTGATTAGAGTAGACCATCCAGCATCTGTTAGTATCAGGGTTATTGTGCACCCCACAAATGGACGTTATCCGGTGACCGGCAACGGAAGGACAGTACTCTAGAGTATTCGTGTAGGCTGGGTCTTTTTTTGCTGCCTGTTGTAGGATCTCGTTCAGATTGGTTCCCTCAAGGACTCTCAGAGTCAGCTCAGGTGGAGATGATGAATAATAACCACTTTTGGTGAAATCAAGACTCACTCTTACGGTTATAATTTTCAGGAACTTGAAAGTGATAAGCGAAGCATCATGTGGCTGATATTCATCTATTCCTGAAGGGATCAGTGCATCTGGTGGATTAGAGTAGACCATCCAGCATCTGTTAGTATCAGGATTATTGTGCACCCCACAGATGGATGTTATCATGTGACCGTGCGGATAGGTTAGTAAAGTGAAATTGTAGCCTGTGTCTTGTTCTGCTGCCCGTTCCAGGATCTGGTGCAAATTGGTTCCCTCAGGGACTGTCAATGTCAGCTCTGGTGGAACTGGTGGGTAGTGACCAGAGGCGACGAATTCAAGCTTTACTCTCACGGTGATCATCTTCTGGAACTAAAAAAAGGTGTTCACCGCGTAAAAAAAACAAAAACAAAAACAAAAACAAAAAAACAACAACAGCAACAAACAAACAAACAAACAAACAAAAACAAGTCTCAAGCGATGCGGCATTTTGTGCATTAGTGCCTGATGTGTCTGGTATATACACAATACTGCATTATCGTTGAAGTGCGACCCCCGAAGTTTGATGTTACGTCCGCCGAACTAGCATTTCAATGACCGCCATCATCGAATTCAAAAGCGACTTTTACATTCCAATAAATGAAAGATACAGAAGGATACAAGCTAGTTAGATTTACATCGGAAGACGAAATACCATAACTTCTGGGCTTCCCCAACTCATCCACTCATTTCTTTATTTATCCACTCATTGATTGATTGATTGATTGATTGATTGGTTGATTGATTGATTCCGGCGATTGAACATTTGCAATAGCTTCTGGTCACCATGGTTACGCAACAGTAAACAACTCTAAAAACTCTGCACTTATTATCATACCTCATTCTGATGAAGACTACCACAGCGTAGACGAAACGTCAAAAACGTTTTCAACACATCGTGCTTCAAACCGTAAAAAACCTTATATATAATTTATATACCATCATTCTTCTTGTTTTTACAATTAGCGTTATTCGATCACAAGTTTTCTGTATAGAGCTTTCGAGCCTAGGATGGAGACACGTTCCTTTTATTTTAGGGTTTTTATGGTTTTCGTGTCTTGCTCAGCAATTCAGGGATACAGTTATTTCAAGGAAGGTTGAATGGGCGCCCGGGGCGATTGGCGATTGCACGACCAAAAGGAACTGTGGGCAACATAGAGGGCGAAACTAGAATAATCGACGTGTTCTAAATGGTTTCGTCGAATACAAACAACACTAAATATGTCAACAATAATCTATGTGTTATTGAAAAAGATTATAATAAGAAACGCCAGTCATTCCAGTCATTCCAGATATTCTTGGATCTTGAAGTGACCGGTCTCCTATCGCTTATCGCCGTTCGCCTCTTCAATCTTTTTTGAAAAGTCGAGTAATCTCTATCAGTTGACATAATTTATTACTTAGTTTGAAGCAAAAATGAAAGCTTTGCATTGACATAATTGCACTGCGGGGCGCTGCTGCATATCCACAATACAGAACAAGGTCGTTCCTGACCAACTGTGTCGTGTGGCGGTTATGCCTGGCTGACTTGGGCTGTATAATATGCTCGAAGTAAGTAGTTTTGAACTACATTTTCCCCCTCAAACTTTGTGAAATACTGTTTCAAAGCAATATTTAATAATTAGAATTATCTAAAATTTGTTTCATTTTGTTGCCCGATGCATTTTACGCTGTTTATTTGAGTGGTGACTACTCGATCACTCTTATACTTATTAATTACACAAGGCTGGCAACTATAGCGGTCACCAGGACTCCAATCCCAATCGCACTCTCCTCAAAACCTACCGGGAAGAATAATCCTACGCTCTTCAAACTCTGGCACATAAAAGGATAATAACTACTAAGTCCTCTGGCAAARTTTGAAAAAAATCACCCTTATAAAGTGAACGGAAATAATTTTCGAAGTTCGTAATTTAGCTTCCTTCTCGTGATGTGACCGTTATGATGTCTCCTTGGAATTCCAAGAATGCAAGCTGTCACTCGAACCACAACTTACTAGTTATGAATCTTAAAAGTCTTAACATGAATTTTCATAAACTTTCCTGAAACAACCACATTTAGTTATCCTCTCTGGGTGAGTGTTTCAGCAGATTTTATGAAAATTCAGATCGCGGCCGCTAGTTGCCAGTCTTGTGTAATTTTAGTACATATGAGAGTGAGTATTCACCACTATTTAAATAAACAACATAAAATGCCTCGGACGAAAATAAAACATGTTTTAGATGATTCTAAATATTGAACTTTATTCAGTGAAACGGTATTTTACAAAGCTCAAGAGGAAAATCATAAAATTGTAGTTCAAAACTACCTACTATGAACAATTATACGACCAAAGTCACTGAGCCATATATGCCACAGGAACTGAGAGTCTGGGAAGCCTGTGGACGCAGGCTACATTTACTGAAGCCGCTGTTAATCTTTAACATTTAAATAATTGAGAAAAAGCGGTAGAATTGAAGAAGAAGAAGAAGAAGAAGAAGAAGAAGAAGAAGAAGACTTTCAGATGGAAGCCCAAGTAAACACCGGCGACACAAAATGCATGCTGGCAGTTTATCGGGGGAAAAAAAACATCAACCGAAAGGGATAGAACATAGCTGGCGTAACAAAGATTTTCCATACCTTAAACAATTGTCTGTCAGTAGTATTCCGTCTGTAATTTTGGAGGTTGCTTATTAAGCACATTTTCCCCCAATATCCACCAGTCAGAGATTTTGATGTGTCAGGCAAGCCAGGTATATTTTTAGTTGCTAAATTAAAATTTCTTGGAACTGTTGCTTAGTCCTAGCCAATCTAAGGATGTGGTTCCGCTTGCGTTATTTTCTCGAAAACAATTATAGTCAGAATTCACCAGAGAATATATATATATTTACTTTAATTTGCATAACGAATAAAGTAGTGCAAGACAAATAAGACTGATAACTAACCAAATATCGGGTTCAAAGTAAGATTTCAACAGTTTTTCGTCTCTTGGTTCTTGTGTTTGCCCTAAGCGTTTTTCACGTTCTGATAACGTGCAGAACTTGTTTATTGTCACCATTCTTGTCACAATGCCACTTATTTGCCGACCGCATCTTCAGATCTTTATTTGTTAGGTTTTGTTTTATCTATTTTCTGACAAGAAAACCTTTTTATTTTGCTCACGTACTAGTAGAGACGAAATATTTTTGAAATCAGTATGCCTGCAATGCAAGGCTCTTTCCTAGCATGAGACCAAAAATCCTATTAAATTTTTCTTTTCAATGTCTTACAAGACTTTATTTTTAAAAGTTATGCAGCTTTCAAGCAGATGTTCTTATAATGTTTTATTCATACGATATACCGGCTACTTTGAATTTCAATGCCGAAGTTTTTCAAATCAAAAGAAAGTAATAAATTTTCGCAACAAGTTACTGGAATAAACGCATGCGCAAACAATCTGTTAAATTCTTCGAAAACACAATGGAAAGTACGCATGCGCTAAGGATTTGATTATTTATTTATTATTTCAAGTAGTATTACAAGATTAAAAACATTTTAATGCAGTTTTTTTACTTTTTTTTTTTTTTTTTTTTTTTAGAGCTGGCAAGATATATAGGTTATTTCCAGGGGAAAACGCGCAGCTAATGATTTTGAAAAAAAAAAAAAAAAAAAAAAAAAAACCATTCTACAACAGCTACAGCTAGCTTGTACTGAATCGCATTCTGCTTTCATTTTAAAAGATAAACAGGAACTGAAAACGTTTTGAAAGTTTTGCAGTTTATAACTGGATTCCAACTACTCGGTGATATCAGATCGCGTTGTTTCATTCTATCAGAACACGTACTTCAAAGGACGAGTCTACGAAGGAACGAAGAAAGGATAAAGGGAGGGATGAGAAAATCGATTCATTCTATATTATTCTAGGTCGTATGGTAAAATCAAAAATAATTCCGAATGCAGTTAATCACAATGCTTTTCCTTTTAGCTTTTTCTCTTTCAAACTAAGAGGGAAAGTGGTTGTTTCTAGCTAGAGAAAAATCGTGCAAACTAATTGCACAAAGGCAGGGACAAATATAACTCTTAAGATTTTCGGTTTGTTTCGTTTTGTTTTTGAAATAAAACTTCGATTTTCGAAATCACCAAAAATGTTATTAAAAAAAAAAAAACCCACACATTTTAAATTATGAAACTTTAAACGACCATAACTGTAGTATTGGGATTCCTGTATGAGATTATGGGTTATGGGAACACATGGTCAGAGAAACTCGTGTGAAGTGCATTAAAGCAGTTTAAACCCAGTTAAATCTGTGTTATCTTTGGTCCCCGGGACACTACATTAACCATGGTTTATTTTCAATAAATCCATTCATTTTGAACTGGCACATGTGGTTGGGAAATATTTTTAATCGAACAATCTAGTCGTCATGTTTAAAGTTTTTTGACATTACGGAAAGAAGTTGTTTATAGTGAAATTCTAATTAAGAAGGCATTGAGTTTTACTGTTGACATGGACCTGCTTTCTTATACTTCAAAGTAATGAAATTTACATCCTCCATCCATCTATTCCTAAGGATTTGTCTTCCTGGTGGAGTTGGGCCTGGTAGAGTCAGCTCGGTGGAACTAGTGGTCACATACAGCGACGACTTTTGGCAACCTCCATTCTCTCAGTGATCAAATGGAACTTGAAAGTGATAAGAGAACCATCCTTTGGCTTATATTCATTTATTCCTGTATGTATCTGTGCTCCTGGTGGAGTAGAGTAGATCATCCAGGATCTTTTATTAGCAGGATCATTGTGCACCCCACAGATGGATGGTATGTTACAGCCTCCTACAGTAAAGTTGTAGCCTGGATCTTTTTCTACTGCCTTTTGTAGGATCTGGTACAAATTGGTTCCCTCAGTGACTGTCAATGTCAGCTCTGGTGGAACTGGTGGGTAGTGACCAGGCGCGACGAATTCAAGCTTTACTCTCACGGTGATCATCTTCTGGAACTAAAAAGTGTCCTTTCATGACTTAATTGTTCACGCTCTACGTTCCCTTGCGTGTAAAAAGAACTCTAAAGTTGGGTCATAAGCGATGAAATATTTTAAAGTAAAAATAGTACAAACCCTAATTTTTATCGAATTCCCGTATCAAACCGTCAGAGAAGACTTATTGTGTTACACAGCCATAGAATGTTGCCGTCGCCCAAGAACCAACCTTAGATTTTTTTAATTCGTACAGTGTGTGAAAATGAATCGATCAAAATAAAACGTATCAAAAACTCGGATTTTGAGGTTTAAAGAAATGTTTTAAACAGTTTTGAAGACAGAAATGAGAGTCCATGGTTCAAGCACTAATGAGTCCATGAGAAAAAATCTCAAGTATATATAAGATGTGATCATATTGGTACATGCAAGGAAAATTTTAACATTCGGTGTGAAAGTAATCTCATCATTTAGCCGCTCTCTCTTTAATTTTAGTAAAATCAAGCGTAGTATTGGCACGTTATCAAAAGCTCGCCATTATGTAAATCTTGACATCTTAAAAAATTGTATTATTCAATGGTTTACCCCTATTTGACATATGGTGTCGTGGTCTGGGGATAAACTTATCAAAGTACTATCAGTCCACTCTTCATTTTACAAAAAAAGTGTGTGCGTCTCATGACATTTGCAGACTTCAAAGCTCACACCAACCCAAATTTTATTAGATTAAAAATATTAAAAATGAATGATCTTATTGAATATCAAACCGCTCTTTTTATGCATGACTATTATTCAAAAAATCCGCCAAAACCGTTTGACACATTTTTTAATCCTGTCAGTCAAAGACACTCTTACAATACTAGATTGGCTTTGACCAACTACGGAAAAGTTAATATCAAGTTTTTAGGTTGTAAATTATGGAATCATTTAGAGAAAGCTTAAAAAGTTTAAGTAAGGAAAACTTTGAACGAAAACTTAAAGATCGCTTTCTTGACTTATATTCAGTCAGCTGATTCATTTGCTTGCTCGCGCGGAGCTCTAAGTCTCACGAATAAAAATCTATAATAAGCAAGATTATGATGTCCATGTGTATGTATGCATGTGTATGTATATATGTATATATGTATATATGTATACATATATGTATGTATTTTATTTATTTATCAATTTGGTTGCTAAATATTATTGTTGATATTCCCTCATCCAAATTATAATTATATATACCTTGATTCATATTCTTCTACTAAATTTTCTACGATTTTTTTTCTATTTTATTTCGCACCTTTACTGTCTGCTTCAATTTTTCTGCAATTTTATATATTTAGCTAAAAGTCTTTTCTTGATAATTTTTCAATCGAGACATTAGTGCGTGGGGGATTATAAAAATCACCGGAGGGTGTGTATAGATATGAAGCTAAAAGTCGATATATGCAAAATGTTTGTAGGTTGAAATGATGCTAAATAAAAATCTTGTCTTGTCTTGTCTTGTTTTGTCAATGGTAGGTCTGAAAAAGGCGCTCGCGTATAAAAATGAAGCAAACTAGAGATGATCTGTTTTTGGAATATGGTAAAGGAAAGATTAATGATTATTTCAAGCTAAAGAAGAAAACGCGTTCTACTAAGTGAACCTTAACTTTTTTCAAACTACATTTTTCGAGTTTTCAGATATTTAAATTTCACCCTTAGTTTGCAAAGAGCATTTTCATGTGCACCGGGTGTTCGGATCTATCTGAAATTCCAGCCATAATACCTTCGAATGTTAAGCTAAATCATATTTAAAACACTCATTAATAATTCATGAGCTTATGGTCCAATTGGAGCCACCATACACGTCACGTGCATGAACCTTTATACCCAATAAAGTCCTCTTCATTAGTATTCAAGCGATTTTATATAAAGACACATGTGATCTTTATATAAAGACCACTCGAATACTATGAGGATGACTTCATCAGGGATGAAGTATGCATCCAAGTTTAGATGAAGACATAGAGCTTCATCAAGGTCGTGGTCAACCCTTATGAGCTTTGACTAACGTAAAACGTGCCTGTCTTTGCCTTGGCACGCAATATCCAACTTGTGGGAGCTTCTATTGAATCTGGTTGCGCATGCCCGTGACGTCAAATCTCTATCGAAGTATAAAAATCCATGTTCGTGACGTGTATGGTGGCTCCAGTTGAACCAAAATCTTATAAATTGTTCATGAGTGTTTTAAGCAGTTCAAAAAACTCGTAGATCGTGTTTTATCAGCTTAGGTTATTCAATGAACGCTTTATGCGAAACTATCGATTTCAGAGAAATTTGCGGGGTTGTTTGGGCTCGGCATCCGACGAAACCTGTTCGAGGCAGACATAACTATATCCTTATTATATTTTCTTGGTGTTCAATTCTGACATTTGTTTTAATATTATTATTTGTCGATTGAATATTGAGAGCAATAGATTGTATTTTGTTTTTCGACATTAGTTTAATAAAATACTGTTACTTATAAATTACAATTTGAAACAAGCATGTAAACACACGCATCGGCACGATCTATATGATGCAGTACAAGCCCGCCTAAAAACAGTTACATTTAGGCCAGCTTTAGGATCGGACATTTAGACTTAAAAACACCGTGAGATCCGAACTAAAAAAATAAATTGCTTGATTATCGTTCATACCTATCTAGTATTGGATTTCGGCTTCTATAATTTTTGCTCTCGTCGTATATTTAGACAATGTTGCGTAAATTACCTCTGATCCACTAACTGTGACTCTTCAGCAGATCTAGACCTGATGACTTTATTTTACGCACAGTTCTTTCCTGRGGTATTTGGAAATTGTCTAATTTTAATTGCATCGAAGTATTTCCTTTAGATTCATAAATTGCATTTCGAGGAAGCCCAAGATCAATTTTAACAGCTATTCATTTTGATTATTACGCTCAGCTCCAGCCTTTAAAAGCTTTATTGTAAAAACACTTGGTCCAGTATTATAAGGAGCAGGTGAAATGGCGTAAATGGAACTCCTCTTGAAATATCTTCTTGAAAAATTCTGCTGTCACGATCAGTTTCGGAAAAAATGAATGATCTTAATCAAGATGCTTAAATTGTTAATTCTATTGTCCCCCCACCCCCATTTCCTCGCCACGGCCCTTCATATGATAACCAACACACGCTTGACTAGTAAGAACATTCATTTTCATTTAATTGCTTTCTTATTATTTGGATTTTTATGATGAAAAACCGATTATGTGACAGCAGGAATTTTCAAGGCAATAGAGATTCCATTTACGCCATTCCTACATTTCATTATAGTTGCTGAACCAGCTAATATTTTTACTAAAAAACACCCGAGAGATCCAAACTAGAATAAGAAAACTATATTTTAATTGACACATTTGGTTTGGACGTTCAGGGCCTAATTCGACTACATCTGAAGCTAAATGATATGATATCCTTTATAACGTTTGAAGATTTTGCTCTCTTCATTTAATGTAGTCTAGGTAGGACTTCAACCAACAGTTACCGTCAGCCAATGTTGATTTTTAACTCGGTTTAAATATTTAGTAGTAGTGGTAGAAGAACATTAAAAAAACTAGTACAAGAAGAAGAAGAAGAAGAAGAAGAAGAAGAAGAAGAAGAATCCAAGTACTGAAAGCGGTTGGCAACACACAAAATAAATACCATCGGCAGGTTTTCATCGGCAAATACCCACCAAGGAATATAGAGACAAAACTGGTATAACACTCCCGAGTATAACACTTCCGAGTTGTACCTTTGGTAGATTGCGCATCTATGGAAATTTTGGAGGCATATTTACAGCCTTATATACATTGGCTGCTTAATAAACATATGAAAATCCGAGTTATTGCATGTCATCTTTTAGTTTGTTTTTGCTATTTTCACCAAACAAAGCCTTGATGCGTCATGACAAGCCAGATGTATTTTTAAACTTTCTTGGAACTGTTGCTGGATTTGGGCAATCTGGGGGTGTGTTTTCTTGCCTTTCACTTTAAAAATATTTACAAATGCCAATTTACTGAGAAAAAAAATTTTATTTATTTTTTTGCATTATTTCTCATTTTGTCTCAGTTGTTCTTGTCAAGTTCAACTGAATGTAAAGCTTTTCGAAAACGTTTGTCGTTCGTGATTTCCTTATATTTCTCACACATAAAAACAAATGAAACTGGTAAAATTGAATCTCAAAATCTAGTAAAGCTTAAGTTTCCAAGCTTCTCGAAAAGTATGCTTTTTATGAAAGAAATAAAAACCTTTTAATGAAGCTAAGAATTAGAATAAGAAAACTATATTTTAATTGACACATTTGGTTTGGACGTTCATGGTCTTCATTTGACTAGTTTAGTTAATAAATGTTATTCAGCTAGTTTTCTCTCTGATGCTACCAAAGCATTTATTTTCTTAATTTCATTGCGGAAAAATACGGTTCTTATAAAAACATATGTTCTTTATATTGATAACCAAACATCGTTATGTAAAAGAAATATAAGTAAGCTTATGTTTTGCTCACCTTTTCTTAACCAGTTTTCAAGTCTGTCTTATGCCCGTGTTGATTTGTCCATAAAAGTTAGGAACTCTCCGAAATTTTGATTTTAATGAAAAACATCCAAGGTAAATTTCACTAAACTTGACATTTTATTGGATTATCTGTAGTCATCTTTCGTTTTTCAAGTAATTAAAAAGGAATTCAAAGCGTAAAAATGTCGGCACAAAACTCTGTCGAAGAATTTAGCCCCTGGGGTGGTCGGTAGTGGGTTGTGTACAAAGTGGGAAAAAATCGTAATTAGTTTATGATATTCCCGAAAGACAAGCACATCAGTACAAACATGAAACTTGAAATCATTTTAAACATGGTTTATTTTCAACACGGTACATTCAATAATTTTTACTTTCCTAGTACATGGTTGGAAATATATTTTTAAGAGAACTTTAATCATGTTTAACGTTTTTGACAGAACGGAAGAAATGGTACTTATAGTGCATTTCTAACTAATTGAATTTATTGTAAAAATGGGTGTTACCATGGTGACGGTACTTGAATTTTAATAGTCACAGGGGCCTGGTATCTCATACTTAAAAGTGATTAGAGAACCATCAATTGGCTGAAATTCATCTATTCCTGTAGGGGTCCGTCCTCCTGGTGGGGTCGAGTAGATCATCCAGTATTTGTTAGCAGCAGGGTCATTTTCCACCCCACGGATGGATGTTATCATGTGACCGGGAACGGACGGATAATATACTACAGTAAAGTTGTAGCCTGTTTCTTGTTTTGCTGCCTGATTCAGGATCTGGTGCAAATTGGTTTCCTCAGGGACTGTCAATGTCAGCTCTGGTGGAACTGGTGGGTAGTGACCAGGCGCGACAAATTCAAGCTTTACTCTCACGGTGTTCATCTTCTGGAACTAAAAAAGTAGCTTATCATGTTCAGTCCAGCTCCGCATACCTCCCTGAAACGCAATCAAACCCACCAACGCAACCAAAGGTCAAGAAAAAAATAACAAATGACGAAAAGAAAAGGATGCAACACCTTAGCATGTGACCAAGGATAAGAGACAGGATAAGAGACAGAATACGCCATTCTTATGTACACAAAAATTTATCAATAAACTTTTCAAAAAATGAATATTACCAAATATATAATGAAAAATATATCAAAAAATGATCTGAAGATTATTTAAACATAGCAAAATACCTAATTTATAAACAGAACCTCTCGATCAGCTAGAATCAGCTTTCGAAACATTCCGAGTGCAGATAAGTAAGAACCTATTTCATGTCTTATAGTACAATCAACAAAATTACTCGACTCTGATTGGTCGAGAGGAATATAATTATAGCGTTAATTGTATTCCGTAGGAGTACCGAATTAAGTCGCTATGGCGACAAGGCCAAAACAATGTCAAAACAATTATTTTCTATCATTTTCTACTTAAAAAACATATAAATAAAATTTTAAAGCCGTAAGAACCAATCGCCTAAAGGCTCGTGTAATTAATTTCCAAATTGTACTCGAGAKCGTGCGATTTCCTATACAAATAGAATGAGTAAGTGAAAAATAGTTATTTCATTCTGATATGACGTAGGAATTCGAAAGAGGATCAAGAGAACTCTAAATTTCCCTCAACCAGAACAATCAAAATAGTTTTACATCGTAATCCAACTCCTAACCCATTTAGTTAGTGAACGACGAAAACCTTTTTCAAATTCTTTCATTGCAATCGACAAAAATAATAGAAATGAATGGAAGAGATAAGTGTTGAACACAATATCTTTCTTGCTACATTACGAAATCTGCAAACTAGGAGAACCAGAAAACCAGAAAACTTCCTAATCGTTGACTAAAGGTGATCCTAAATAACCCCTAAACTTAAGGTTTTGGTTTTTAATTTACTGGGAAGCCGCTTTAGTAGTAGTAGTAGTAGAAGAAGAAAAAGAAGAAGAAGAAGA